GCCAGCAGCAGCAAGCGAATCGGCGAGCGCAAGCGCTCAATCTTTGCACCGCCTCAATCTACCACCCCCTATGATCAATTGCCTCATTATGCTGAAGAAGTACCTCCGCAACTGGTTTGCAACAGCCTGCCACCGTCTTTCGCTATGTTCCTGATACCTGTTCACGTATCCTGTGGTCGTGTCAAAGTCACACTAGTTCGCCTCTGCTCTCGCCATATTCCGCAGAGTTTCCGATTTTGTGCTGTTTCCAATGAAATGCGTGTTGAAGAGGATGTTCATTGGTAGATGAGTCAAGCGTCCGCATATATAACATTGCTCCACCGCGGTGTACGGTACGCAGTTGCATGCCCAACGTTTGGGCGGGTTCACTGTCAGTAAATCATGTTCCTATGGTAGTTGTGCCCTCTCGATCGGCCCTCACATTGTCCCAAACACAGTAGTTATCCATAATCGACGCAGCGCCAGTTATGCGTGCCCATGTCGGTCTGTGTCTTTCAGTTCCACTCGACCACTGATTTGCGAAGCGTCAGGCACGACACGGATGGCTAAAGAGTCGCTCCGGCAACATGTCTCTCACGATCCTTCCTTCACTGGGCCTTTGGCCGTCTGTTACAATTCGATTAACTGCACTTTGATAAGCAGCACATCGCCAGCTCCAGACTAGATCAATTTTCACATCCCATCTCCTCGCAAGGCGGACAGCGATCCTTGTAGGAATCTCGTTGCTGATTTGATTACTTAGGCAATATTTCGCACGCTTTAGGCCTGATGTGTTAAATTTAAAGTTATGTAAATGAAAGCTGGCGCTTGGCAAACCTGGTTATGCTGCCTGTGTGGTTCAATTTTTATTCAACACTCTTTCTCTTCGTGGAATCAAAACTATCTTTTTATGGGAGGATGTAGTAATAGGACTTTTTCGGCTGCAGGGTTCATGATACGCTAACTTAAAGTCATCTTTGAATTGAATAGTTCGCTCTTTTGACTTTTCTATCCAATCAAAATGTTCTTTAATATGTGGATACAACCCCGCATAATAGCGTACTACTGAGTAGTGGAAGGAAACAAATAAATTGTCAACCTTGTTCGCGCAGGCGTGTGCTAGGCTCTGAATGCTTTTCAAATTGGTTCCCTTCTTGCACAACCGAAAACATGTTTCTGGTAAGGAGTGGGAATAGCGGTA